GCAGATCAAGCTCCTCTAATCTTTCCGTGTCTCCAGAGGGGAAGGCCAGGCAAATCATCAGATTTAACCTCCCAGGCCTTCATTTCTGGAGTGGAGGGTGCCAGGGGCCATGCAAGCTTTCACTTTTCCCTTGTTCCTTTAGAACCCACAGCAGCAGGCAGGAGGAGGAAAGCAGGAAAGGCAAGGGAGAACAACAGAAATTGGGCTTTTCATGTCACTGAAGAGCCAAGGGCCACATGCAGTGCTCAGTTCCTGGCCCAAGAAACACAGGTGAGAACAAATGGCCTTTGGGAACTCAACAGCCAAGGCTTTGCTGGAGATCAGCTTCTCTCCTGAGCAGCCAGGCTGCTGGGGATGAAGCCACATGTCCAACACCTACTCGTGGCAAAGCTGGTAGGGAACCCATCACAAAAGCTCATGGCATGCATGGATAGTCAGTGTTTTCCATCCTGCAGTTTCCTTCAGCACTGCTCTGACTGAACCTGCTCCATGCAGTGAATTCCCAGGTGACTCACACTCACCAGCACATGGCAGTGGGATGTGTAGCAAACTCATCTTGTGTAGGCTCCTCCAAAATCTGCTCCTCCTCTCCCTTTGGAAGCAAAAAGCTCAGGGTTCCTCTGCTTCCTGCCACTCAGGGTGAAAAAGGTGAAGAGGAGCAAAGAAACACCAGGTTTAATTCCTATTCGCTGAATCAACAGGAGAAATTCATAGAATCACAGAGTGGTTTGGGTTGGAAAAGACCTTTAAGATCATCTGGTTCCAACCCCCTGCAGAAATCTGCAAGATTCTTCAATAAGAGACCCACCCTGGCATGGTTTGATCACCTTCATGTGAATGGCAAATGAATTGCAGGGGTTTGGCTCATGCCTGCACAAAGCCATTGCTGTGTGAACAGAAATTGCATCCGGCCTCATCAGAGACATCTCAGGAACGAGCCAGGAGCAGCTCCTGTCAATGCAGGCAGGGCTCTGACTCTGACTCAGGCTCAGACTCAGGATTTTCCCCAGGTTCCTGCCCAGGGTGCCAGAGCTGCCTTCAGCTGCACTCACAAACACGCAGCTGCACAGGGAGGGGATGGGGGGACACTCGTGGGCTGCTCCTCGGCTGGTGTGAATCAGCCACGCTGCAATCACAACACCCAGTGATGCTCTGTTAAACGGTTTTTAAAAAGGAGACTTAAAGGAACTCGAGTAAAATTAAAACATTGAACTAGCTAGTCAGATTACAAAAAACGAGCTGTAAACCTTAGAAGAGAAAACACATTTTTGCCTCTAACACAAAGAGAATTTTTAAGAGCAATTCACTCTGTCTTTTCTTCAAGGAGATTTCTCAGCCTGGGCTTATGCTCACTTTTTCAAAAGAGGCTGACCTGAGCATTTTTTTATTTCTTTCAAGCATAACAGTCCAACCCAGAGCCATTTCTTTTTGTCTGGCTCCTTCTTTTCTCTGTATTAATTTCAATTCCATCAACGAGGCAGTTGCATAACTGTTGTTTGTAATTGCTGTCACGTCAACCCTGAAACTGATCACTGCAACATTGAAGTTATATAAAAGGTTTTGTTAGGATTTTTGTTATTTTTCTCGTTTAAATTGTGGGAAGATGAAGTCCTACCCTGGAGAGATGTTTTGGTTTTCTGAGCTCTGTTGTCTATTAGTCTTGTGCTTTGGTGTCTTTTCTCTCCAGTTTTGTTTTACACAGTACAAGGGTCTGTTTATGCACAGAAACTCTCCAAAAACAGTTCTGTGCACCCCATTAATACACAGGCTATAAAATAAACTCTGCTGAGTCAGAGAAGCTACTGGCAAAAGTCAAGTTCACAAAATGGGTAAGCTCTTAAGGAGCAATTTAAATTTCATGGCAAGACAGACTATTTAAATGCTTCAGTGGCTGGGATTGTAATTTACCTTGTTCTTCCAAAACCAGTGGACTGTTTCCCTGCAATGATGGAGCATCAAAGCCTGTGGGATCATTTCTCCTTGTGTGTGTCTCTTCACTCAAACACACAGAAATGCTCCTGGAATTGAGAGTCAGCTCCTCCTGAGCATCTCCTTTGACCCAGGGGTGTGCTCACCTGGGAGAGAGGTTTCTCCCTGCCCCCAGAGAATTTAAATGATCCATTTTACCATTTCTTTTCTGTCTTTCTAGAGGCACCAGGGCCATGCTCACACATCTCTTGGATCCAAGGTAGTCTGAAAGCCATTCTGCACTGCAGACAGAAATTCTTCAAGCCAACAAATAATTAAGGACTTTATTTTGACACAAGTGAATTGTACCCATTACTTCCTCAATGTTTCTTCATACTTAAAAGCAATCTATTTGTAGCTGATATTGTTTTTTCTTTGAAATACTCTAGACAATGTCAGATTCTACAAAGAGAAAAAAACGAAAGAGAAAAATATACTGAAGTACCATCAATGCTCACTCCCACCTAAAAAAACCCAGAACCCTTCAAGACCAGAAAACATATCTGCTTCTCACAGTGTCTTGTCTGTAAGTTCTGCCTCCCTGGGGAGAAGTTTTTTTAGAGATGGGCAAGGGATGGCAGGAAACCACATCTCTCATTTCCACTCCAGAATCAAGAGCAGCTTTTAAGGTCTAAAACAGAGCAAAGCAAAGCTCTTGTCACCCATTTCATCTGAGCACCAACCAGGAGACACAGTACCAGCTTCTGTGGGGAAGCACCAAGGGAGGAATTGGTGAACTGATGTCTTCAAAATTGTTCAAAATTCCTTCTGCATGAGCACACATTGCATGTGCACGTTCAGGGGAACAGGCAGAAAAAGCTGTTACCTTCTGGGTGATGGGAACTGTGCAAAACACAGCTATCAAACACCTAGGGAGGCACAGTTCACCCAGATGCAGTGCCTGCATTCTTAAAGACACTCCCACAGGAATCCAGTAGATTTGGGAATGAGAGGGGCGTGTGCCAAAGTCAGGGCACAGCCACTCAACACGCAGTTACACTGAATTCATTAACTTCAGAATTTGGATAGAAGGGTTCAAACACCACCAGCGAGGTAAAGGTTCAAGTGAGATACACAAATAGATGGCTGTGAGCTGCTCTCTTATCTTCACCTGAGACCTTGTGACTGACACGAAGGCAACTCATGCTCAAAGGCAATTAACTCAAGCCCTTAGAGTGGTTTTCAGACACACAGATCTCACTCTGGTGTTTGTGGCCTATTTCTCAAGGATTTGTGAAAGGCAGCTGAGGAAATCAGGGCTACCATCAGTAAATCTATTTGATAATGCTTGTGTGCTCTGAAAAGCTGTTAACAGACCCCAAACTCCACTAGGACTGCACCCCAATCTCTGGGCTGTAGGAAAGGCTGTGCCATGGCCACAGCTCCCCTGCTCTGCATGGGGCTCCCAGCAATCTCAGCTCTCACAGAGGTGATGTGACCTCACTACTCTGCAGATGCAGCTTGTGGAAAGCACTTTGTGCATAACCCAAGCCAGGTTTCTCTCAGCAGCTTCATTTTCCTGGGATATCACCTGGGTAGGAATGGTGTAATCGGCCCTGGGAGAACTCTCACCCCTGCTCTGCCACATTCTCAGTAGCTGAGTTTGGTCTTAGCTCAGACACTCTCCTCTAAGCAAAATAAATAATCCTTTATTATTGTTAGGAACAGAATACTTAATGCTCTAAGGAAGCCACACAAAAAGCTTCAATGGTGTGCACTTACTTTGTTAAGGGTGGCTAAAAGATGTTTCACACAAAACATACGGCTGTGCTTTGGAAAAGCCAGCTCCAGTCACCAGCCCAGGCCTTGCCATCCAGCCAGGGGTGCCCTGCCCAGCTCTGGGTGCTGTGTGTGAATTTACACCTTCACATCCACCCAGGGGTGCCCTGCCCAGCTCTGAGTGCTGTATGAATTTACACCTTCACATCCACCCAGGGGTGCCCTGCCCAGCTCTGAGTGCTGTATGAATTTACACCTTCACATCCAGCCAGGGGTGCCCTGCCCAGCTCTGGGTGCTGTGTGTGCCTTTACAGAATTTAACTGGGGACTCAGCTAAGCATCACTGCAGACTTCAAATGGGACTTGGCTTCAAAGAACCAAAATTTTTGCTTTCATGGGAGACCCAAGGCTCTGCCTCTCACTCTGCATCCTCTCCAGGGCTCTAACCAGATAAACTCCCTCTTCCAATGAACTCTTGGCTCAGACATTGTCCCTAGGCAGGATCCTTGGTGAAAGGAGAACTCAGAAACTCTCAAGCCTTACCCAAGGTCCAGTGTGGCTGCAGCAAGGAGTGCTTTTCCAGTTTGTGTCTCATCCTGTGGCAGACACTGAACACACTTTGGCAGCTGCTGTATAAATCACTCCAGCCTTGTTACTGAGCTGGTGTGGGGCAGAGTTACCTCTTACTTACCAACCTCCCATTTGGCCAAGTTATGAGTTGATCCAGCTGGGATTCCAGCTCGCTCACACACGTGGGTCTGTGGGAGTGAAGTGAGTTTAGTTGCAAGGGTTGTAGAAACAGCAGAGATGGATTTTAAGTCCCATCACTCTGGGCTGTTTCTCGGCTGCTTTGAAGCTCCCAGGTGCCACCACAATGACTGCCCATTGTCCTTTTTAAACACCTTCTGCTTGGCTAATTTGATTAGGATCCCCCTTGGCTTTCCATCAACATCACCCCATGGAAAGTTGGCCCCACGACTTGAGCAGAATGAGGTCTAAAGAGAACATGAACAGAAGGCAATGCAATATATAACAGAAAATGAAACAGAAATGTGTGCTTAATTCTTAATACTCTTTACTCAGGTAACTTCTCCAACCATTTATTAATGGTAATTTTTTTTTAAACTACTTTTCTCCCAGTGACAGCTTCAGCACCAGTGAGTTCTCCTCATATCAGCTCTTTTGGGGCTCGTTATAAGCAAAGCTACAAGAGAATGGAGCTCAGGGCACCTTCTCACTGAAGGTCCACATTAACTCTGTTGTACTGCAAGGCAAACTCTGGCAGAGTTAAATAACGACACAAAGCAAAGATATACTCCATAAAACATTAATATTTTAATGAAAAATCTTAGCTTCATGTTTCTATCCAAAGACACTCAAAACTAGTTTTTCTCCCCCCTTAATTTTGACCTATAATGGGACCAGTTTGGAGATTTTTTTTTTTTTGTATTTTGGAACTTTTTTTTAAAGATTAAACAACCAGGCTAGCAAAAAGGTACCCAATACATACTTTTCTTATATCAAACAAGCTAGTATTTCAATACAATGTAACTATACAGAATATATACATTACACGTATGATCACAAAGCAAACACTACAGGCTCAGAACAGATTTGAAAAAACATGATATTCACATTGATTACAATAACTCTAAAAATGATTGTAACGTTGAAACGGCACTTAGTTTACAAAAAAAGTCACAAAAATATATATAGCCACCAAGAACTATGGTTCCTGAAAAATACTAATAGCCAGATAGTATTATATAAAATGTGAAGTGTATTTAAACATCGTATACATTAAAAAACAAAACCAAAACCCAAAACCAATTCTGTTAGGTCAATAAACATGCCAAGGAATCTAGCTGTGGCCAGCATCAACAAGAGAAGCTGTACTGTGGATGAGATGATGACTGGATATACGGCTGGTGACTGGAGACTGGCACAGTTAAGGGGGTTTCACTGTTACTAAAAATGCACAAAGAAGCCCAACAATAATTTAATTCACATTTTTTTTTTTTTCCCCTCCAGCTTCCGCTTTTCCCTCTTTGGGGTTTCACCATGGGGCAGCACCTCGAGTGAAGGCACTGCAGGAGCAGAGCAGGGAAGCTGTCCAAGGACTCGGTGTAGCCAGGCTTACAGGTCAGAATATCAAAAGCATGCATCAGCTAAATGAATGGTGAAACAAAATCACTCCTCTGGGGACTTCAGCAACCCTCAGGAAGACTGTAGGTACAGTTGCCACACAAGCTGGCAGCACCAGATTCCACTTTTTTAATTTTTTCTTTTTTTTAGTGCAACCAGATTTGTAGCTGAGACCTGTGGGACACGGAGTTACTGCGCTAGCACACAGAGTGAACAAAAACCCGGAGCAGGAAGTACTGTTGCACTAAAAAAAAATTCACATTTATTTCTTTTATGGTACATTTCCTCAAATACTTGAAACCTACTCTATTTACCAGGTACCTCTGATGTGGCTGAGGTCCTGTCTGGCCTTGAACCCTCTTACCTGCCATCACGATGCTATGGGATTTATTATGTCTACAGTTGGAGATGAGAACCCTCCAAAACAGAATTTCACCTTGTGAGCAAAACTCGAACAGAACCGGCCTGAATGAAAATCAGCAGTTTTCCATTTTGTGATGGTGTGGAAGTTGCAATGGATGCAGGAGCAGCAGGTGCTCCTCCATCTGAATTCTCTCATCCCTGCAGGGTGCACAAAGCTCCCAGTGGATTTGCATATAAAATGCTTCCTGCTTTGTCTCTGAGAGAGACCAGCACTCCCCTCGGTGCTCCCACACCCTGGGCTGCAGGGTGGAGCCAAGAGGCGCCTGAAGCCCTCATATAAAACCCTTAAACCATAGCTTAAAAACAATAAAACTTCATCCCGCAGGGGACATATAGGGATCATAGTCTTACAAAATATATTTGACTGCATTGGCAGCTATTACTTTTTTAAAAAGTTTAAATTCACACCTTTTAGACTCAGAATCCATGTGAACCCAGAACCATTTTCAAGAGTCTACTGATCTCTCAGTATGAGAGACTGGCCGTGGTCTCTGCGAGCCTGACAACTGAACTCCAGCTGTGGAAACACCACTCGTGGCTGAACCACATCAACCCTTGTCAAGCAGACATTTAAATGCATACTAAATAATGGATTTTTGGGGGGACAGGGAAAAAAAAAACAAAGAAGAAAATGCATCCCAGAATTCAAAACTCTCTGATAATGTACTGAAAAAAAATTATGTTTTAGGTTTAATCCCAAGTTTAAGGCAAGTTTTTTCTATTTTATTTAGTTATCTCTCTTGCTCTGTTTGGAATCCAAGCTCATTAGCAACATAAATTGTTTTAAGATGTTTTTGCATCTCTCTTGTGAAGAACACCAGCATTTCAAAGAACTGAACACTTCCAACAAGTTAGAGAGGAGAAATAAAACAGTGTTTGCATTTAAACTGTAATCATTTCTATGGAGAAAAGAGATATTAACAAGAAACAATTACAGACAGGAAGATTAACAAGTAAACCCAATTCTAAACCAACCAAACAAAATCCTCCACGAACTCTATTGTTCCTCCATTTGAACCAGACTGAAAAGTGAGAACTAAATTAAGATGTTACCCAGAGATTAGGAGGTTGAAAAGATAATGTGGAACACACAGTGCAATGAATAATGAACCCCAGGCCTTGTCTTGTACCTCGGTGTTAATGATCTTTATTTCTTTTCAAGGAAGAACAGATCAGAGCTATGAAGTCTTTGCAACTTTCCCCCTTCTCTTTGGTATTCTGAAAGCAATTTGCCTTCTGACTCAAAATTTTAAAAATCCAATACCCAGATATGTCTATGGTGTATTTGTACCTTCTCACCAATTTAGCAAAATACTTCAGGGATGAAAATGATCAGATTCTAATGATCAGATTATGTCCTCCACCTCCTACCTGACCACCTTTGATTATTACATCTCTGCAGTCAGGAAATGTGGTTTGGGTGAAGCACTTTTCAGAACACAAATCACAAAGGACTCTCATTTAGCTGCATAATACATCAGGAAAAAGAGAAAGTGCTGTATTTGAGTTCAGTGTTGTAGCCCTCTAGTTCAGAATAAAGCTCAGCCAAAGGCATTGTCTTGTCTCACTGGCTTCTCAGAGAAATCAGAAGTGGAAGAGGAATGGTCTCTAAATTCAGCTCATCAACAGGCACTGGGCTATTTCACAGTACAGCAGCCCAGAAAAAGCATTTCTCCTTCAAGCCCTTTTCAGAAACATCACAAAGGTAGATATAATCAAGACTGAATTGCAGCACAGAACTTTGCAGCATGTTTCTAAACCACCCTTTGGATCTGCTGGAGAAACCTCATTCCAGCAACTTGGAAAGTATTTAAATCCCAACTGTTTTCACTCTATTTAACTAAAATATGTGGGTTTTACCTAAAAAGAGAAAAATTGTTGAAGCCACTGAAACCCTTTAAACACTTTCCAAAGGTCAATAAACTTTTTTCCTTACAAAAGCTGGCTATTAATAGAAAGAACTCAGTCCCAGAGAGTATCAGAGTTGCCTAGGCTGACTGAATACAAATTGATGTGCAATATAATACAACTTTTGTGTCTTCTGTTTCTTCAGGAGCAACCTTTCTCTATTGGTTTCATTTTCTCCTCATGTTTGCATAACGCAAATCTGGCCAGAAAATAACAATTTACAAAAAAACAAGACTCAGAACTAAGGGAGTGTATCATGCCTTTGGAATACTGAGATCAAGCAATACCTACTCACTCAGCACATCATCTGTAGGCCGTGGGCATTTGGCATCAAACACTGAGTTAACTTCAGAAGCTGTAAGAAAAATCACAACTCTCCTAATGTACTTCCTAATTTAGGTTTCAAAGCAGCACTTGAGCCCAAACAGCCTCGACCAAACAAGACTCACTGCCCTGAAAATCCCACACCCTCCATTTGTAGCTTTTTCTAAATATGGAAAAATGAAATTGCAAGTATTTCGGTTTATTGCTTGCTTGAGCTGTGTGTGTAGCTGGAGTAATGGCCTTTAATAAACCGAGTTGGCAAGGATTTAAAGTGTTTTGAAACAGGAACAATTCATCATTGCTCTATAGCTTCTTGTAAACAACCCCCTGTTGGTTAGAAAGTTGTCCTTCGAGAGAATAAATTGCTTGTTTTGTCTAAAACAGGCTAATAAAAATCTCTGAAACTATACATACCTATGTATAAACGAAAAAAATATGCAATAATGCATAAAAGAGCTTATTTTTTCCAATCTGTAAATTCCCTCTAGCTCACTCTCTGATTAGTAAAATCACAGTGTGTATGTGAGGGGGCAGTGATCAGAACTGCAAATAATCTGGCCATGGGTTAAAAATTTCAGTTTGGGAAAACCTTCATTTTCCTTTGTGGTTCCCCATCTACAGACAGATACAGTCAGGAGATATTTGTCAGGCTTGCATGGCTAAACACTTTTCCATCATTCCCAATTCCTGGTGCACCTTTAGACTTTCCATGCCTAACCTCAGCTGGGCAGATGTGTTTAGGCTATTTGATCAAGCAGTTTCTGAAAGGACTGGAACAGAAGAAGCAGGAATACCTGGCATTCATCTGGGCTGGACAGGGATGCGTGTTTTGAAGAAGTGTGTGACTGTTCCTTTCAAAACCACTCACCATTCCCAAGCACAGGGCACAGTGAGGGCTTTGAAAAACAGCAGGCACATATAGGAAGTGTCACTTCTTTATGCAGAAGATTAAAGCATCCACTCAAAACTAGTCAAAACTGTTCAATCATGGTTTCCAATGCATCCTTTTGTTTATCATTTGAAGAAAGGTTTCCTCTGATTTCTTTCCCTTAACCAGAGGGCCTGCAGAAGCAAGAGAAACTTAATGAGCTGCTCTAACTGTGGAAGAAGGAATAGTTAAAGTGATCTGGATCAGTTGTTCTTCTTTAGAAGTGTATCACAGCTTCCAGGATGTTCTGACAAGATCTTTTTTTGTGCAATCAGTCTTAAATATTTTCACAGACGCAATCATTCAGTCATGAAAAATAATGTAACATCTGTCGCAGTTTTCAGTTTAAAGCGTAGCTTACAAAGTAAAAAGGGGAAAATCTCCCCACTTTTCGTTTAAAAAAATTAAATTAAAATGTACAGGACCAAACACAGGCACTTTCCAAAGAACAAAAATGAAACCAAACCATGAATTATTCGATAGTAATCGATGACAGCTCCGGTTTCGGAGGGTCACCCGCGGCTGCCTCAGCAGTGGCATTAGTCTTTGGCTGCTCTGGCACATCTTCTTCCTTCTCTGCCAACCCACCCAGAGACCCCAAGGGGAAAGTGCTTTCACAATTCTGAGTTGATGACACCTGTGAAATGACAGGCATTTGGACAGAAGAGTTGCTTTCAAAGCCATGCTCCCCTAGCTCATACTGCCCGAGGGTCTCCTCTTGTTCCTGGTTTAAGTAGTCCGGTACTAGGAAGTCACTGGAAGAAGGGCAAAGGACAGAAAAGAAATGTCATTTCTCACCCCATGGTATCAGCACCATCACACAAACTACACACTGCATTGACAGAGAACAAAGGAACTCATTTCACATTGGCCAAGATCATGGCACTGAAATACTCCACGAAGCACCATAAGCTGGTTCTCATTCCCACACACACAGAATTTATTCAGTGGTATCTATTTCACATCCGTATTTCCTACACAGCAACTTCTTATTATTAGATTGTATCACCTTGATGAGAATGCAAGTTAATGTCTGGAACACATTTGGCACTGAAAACCTCATTGAAAAAAAGGGAGCACTCAGGCTTTAAAAATAGTGACAAAAATGAGTTCAGCAACAGCAAAACGTGGCCCTTTCCATGTCTGAGGTACAACATCCCCAGAGCAGCAGCAGGACTTCCCTGAGTGGGCAGGCTGGAAGCAGAGGCACAAGGTGAGGCAGCTGAAGGCAGAGGAAGCTGCCAGCTGCAGCAGGGATTGTGATCCTGACATGTATCACACTCCTGAGAAAAGAATGGAATTGCATCTCCCTCCCATTTTAATCCTTTCTGAACAATCCTTTCTGCTATCCACACTTAACAGCTGAGGGCTGAGGATCCAAAGAAAACCTATCCAACGCTCCAGTTGCATTTTCAGAGCATGAGGACATAATGAAAATAAATTTCTTTGCAAGTTTTCAGCACCAGACATGAAGTTTGTACTTGAGGCAAGTATATACATATATCGTGTATAATCACGTTTATATGCTTTGGTTCACCTGGCAATGCCAGAAATCCTTAAATGACAGCAGCATTCACTGCTCCAACCCAAACTCACTGCATCTCTGCTAAACCTTGTGTTTGTCAAATCAGACTGAAGGAGGGGCTACAGGCAACTGAAATCTCACCCTTTAACATGACTTTAATTTGCTGACAACAATGCAGTGCTTACCACAGCCAGGGCATCACCCTGCAGAGTTTTCGCTCCAGTTTTGGCACAAGAGCCAAGAACAAGAACTGCGTAAGCCCACAGATATGAAACACTTGTACTTTTAAACAATATTCTGCTGAAAGAACAGCAGCTGGCTTTCCTGCTTTGTTTTTCAATTTTTTTGTCCTATGTCACTTCTGAGTTAATCAAATAGAACAAAATACTCAAATGCTTTTTCTGGGAAAAAGACTAATATCTGGGAATCAGGAGGGGTGGGATTGTGGTGCTCTAACATTCAGAACATGTCTTTTGCATTGCTGAAGGCAGATGACTTACACCAAGCTGCATTCTCTCTATAGATTTAAGAGCTGGAAGACCTTCTTGTCTTCAATTTCTCTCATCCAACTTTTGGGTTTTCTATCTCAAATTCCAACAATTACATTTATATCAATGAGAGGATACAGTGCTTGTCTGATACCTCAGAACTCTTTTAATAGTCTTTAGCAGTGCATTTGTGAGATATGCCAAGTCTTTTGTGCCCTGATAAAAAAATGTCCAAGTGGCCCTTACTATTTCCAAACCTATTAGTCTAATCATTTAGTAATGTTATCTAGAAAATGAGAAAGGAGAAGGTCTGGAGTCATGCAATCTTTCCACAGTGTTAAGCAAACACTTAAAACAAAGTAGGAATTCTGTGCCCTATGAAAGTGAACAGGCTACGTACAAGATTTTGAAAAGCAAATCAATATCAAATCACAGATACTGTAGGACAAAACACTGTGGCTTCAACCATTGGCCTGGCCATAGATACTACTGAAAAGAGAAATTAAATAACCCAGAACCAGCCTCTGTATATCACTGGATTCTTCAGTAGCCTCCTATATAGCTCCCATGCTGTAAAACAGATTAGATACAACAGAGTGTGGAGCAGGAATCAATCTGACTGGAATTAGCTGGCAACCTGATGAGAGGCACAGCAGGCTGCCCTGAAAGCAGGAAATGATGATCTAAGAAAAAAAAAAAAAAAAGAAAAAGAAGAAAAAAAGGAGAAAAAAAAAAGGCAAAAAAAGAAAAAAGCAAGTTTCCCTGTTAGGTTTTTGCTGTGCACCTCACCTGCTCTGGAAGTAGTTTGCTAGCTCTGACGCTTCATGGTTCAAGCTCCTCAGGTGAACGATTAAATTTCCAGAGTTGGTGAACATGGCGCCGCATGTTTTGCACTCGTAAATCCGAGGCTTGCGGATAATGTGCCGGGAAACCCGCATGTGGTGTTTATATTCCCCGAAGGAAGTGAAAGTGGCACTACATATCTGGCACCGGAAACAGCGTTTACCTTCGTGCTTCAGGCGATGCATCTTGAGCGAGTAAGCTCGGGTGAACTTTTTCCCACAGCGGTCACACTGAAAGGGTTTAATGCCTGTGGGAGACAAAGTGCAAATGTTCACCTTGTGTGACCACAGGGCAGGGGTGAAACCCTCCCTGAGTGCTCCAGCAGCTCACAGCAAAGCCCTGCTTCAGGGAGAGCTTCTCTGTTAACTTTAACATCAGGGCAGAGCTGCACCCCCTCAGTAACAAGCTGCAAGAAATCTCATGGCTGTGACCTGTCCTGAGGCTCCTTCCCCACGGTTTAAATGGAGCGTGAGCTGACACAACGGCCAGAGCTGCTGTCACTTTGTCACTAAGGTCCTGTGCCTAGAGTGGGTCACACCCCAGGAACAGGAGGCCTTGGATGTGCCTAGAACTATGGATCCATGGCTCCATGTCACATTGTGTTTGAAGGAGGCAGGGAGGAGGGAGAGCTCTTTTATATAGGATAAAAAGGATTTATTACTCTGGGGAATCCGGGGGGCAAAAGACAAAAAAATGGTGAAGGTCCAACAACTGCAATATGGGGGAAGTTCAAGGGGAAGGTACAACTTAATAGCAAGTTGGAGAAATTCTGAGAAGGGGTGAAGGGTAGGGTTCATAAAGGCATTGTCCAATGAGGGAGGCAGGGGGGAAAACTGGGTGACATGGACTAATGAGGTGTCCAGTTTTAGGGGATTTCCAAAGGGGAATTCCAAGCAGGGGGCTGGCACAAAGCAGGATTGACAGGGAATTCAGGATAGATTGACAAAGTGGGTGGGAGGGGATAATTCTGGACTAAACCATTAACTTGGGCAGTAACAGAACATACCACTAACAAGAAGCACACTCCAACAACGAGTCCCTGTGGATTAAAGATCCCCAGGCACAGCCAACAGGGACCTGATGCTGCAGTGTCTCCAGTGCCTTTGAACTCCTTTGATCTTGGCAGATTCTTGTGCCAGACCGGTTCCCAACAATGCAATTATCAGCCTACTCTTAATTGCAATGTTTTTTTCTGGCTGCCTTTGGCCTCGGAGAAGTGTTCTGGCAAGGGGGCTGTGTGCACACGGACACCCCTGTAATGCAGCAGGAATGGTGATAAAAGGGGCACCAGGAGCTTTTATACTGCGTGGGAACCTTGCTGGACAAGAATTTTCGGCAGCTCTGCATGACAGACAGCTCTCTAAGACAGCTGAGCTTCACGCCTCTCATTTTTTTCTTTTATTAATTTAGAAATTCAGTTCCTAGCTAATTTTTCGTTTCTTAACCTAAAGCACACGAGCTCTGCAACATGTTGCAGTGGCTGAGTGTATAATCACACAAACAGAACTATTACAACAGAAAAGTCTGAGTCACCAAAACATTCGGATTTAATAAAAAGTCTCAAGTCCAGAAAGTGGGAAAATCCAAACATGAGGCTAAGAATCTGGAATATGGAGCTCTATTCATAATAGGGCTGTCAAGGAATAAAAAAGATTTCTTCAAAAGGCTGAATGTGCATCAGCCCTGGTGTTAATTCCCTCAGTCTTTCATTCTGCTTTCCTTACTTTCAAAGCAGGAGGTGAACTTTTAATTGAGGGCTTTTAGACAGAGAAAGCTGTAGTTAAGGTTACACTGAAACGCCCTGTTAAGCATGTGAAAACAAGTTAATAAACTGGAATATGGTCTGGTGGAGCTCAAACTTTTCATGCTTTCCTCCTGTCCAAGGGCACCTATTTCTTCTGGTAGTGTGAGGAAAATCTCTTTAGCCATTTAGCTCATGTGAAAACACTTTCAACATTTACAAGCTCTGAGAGTTCTTTTGCATGTTAATTATTCTAAACCAACTATTCAAATCTCTCCCAACTTTACCCAGGAGTTGTCAGTTGACAGGCTGGCCAGAGATTTTAACTGCTAGATTTTAACAACAGGCTTGGGATCATTTTGCACCTGATATGCCCACAGAATTTGATTTTTCAAGTATTAAACACATATCTGATTATTCTGCCTGAAAGGATTTGACAAATAATTGTTGACAGGGAAAAAATTAGACTTTGTCAGTTGTGGCTGCTCTGTCCCAGATTGGTTGAGCCCCTGTGTGCAGGTAAGAGTCAGACTCAAACCAGGAGATGCTAAACCATGAGGCTCAGTGGCCAAGTGCAATAAGTGCCTTTCAATATTCCCTTTATTCTCTCAAATGTCAATGCTATTGCCACATAATGCTGACAAGTCTTGAAACCACCAATAGCAAAGACATTGGGGAGTTCATGCTTGGTTTGACATCAAAATGAATTTGGGGACCAAGGCACAGAGGAGGCATTCACGTAAACCTTTGGCTGCCTGTGCTACCTGCAGGAGCTAAATTGATTATCAAACCAATTCAGTTGTCCTGCAATCCCTCCAAAAAGTCTGAGATCCAAAGGCAAACAACCTTCTTCAATGCAAGGACACAGATAGTTAAGATTTTCTTATGGCTGCAAGCCTTGTCTGAAACACAGCAGAGAATTACAACATGGCAGAGGAAAAATTTCAATCTACTTCTTTAGTGCAATAAAAGGGCCAAGTATACTTTATTTCATCTCAGATCTTTTTCAGGAAAATGACTTATCCTGATGAGTTCCAGGCAATCAGGTTTTTTTTCAGTCCACACAAATGCTAATCATCCATGAGCACAACTATCAGTCAGACTCCAGGGATCAAAACAAGCGTTCAGCAAGACAAACCTCTACCCAATCTTTCTGAAATCAACTCTCAACACTTGGCAAGTGAGTGAAAAAGCTGCATTATTACAATTGCTGCAGAGTGAGGCTGAGTGAGTCAGGAATTCAGGGGAACAGGGCTGTTTCTTACCTGAGTGGATAAGCATGTGTTGTTTTAGGTTCTGAATGCGAGTGAAGCGCACCCCGCACGTGGGACACTGAAAGGGTCTGTCGGGACCGTTTGGGCTGGGCCTCTCTGTGCTGCTGGTGGAAGGAGCAATGTAGAGTTGGTAGGGATACTGAACATTCTCCAGACTACAAAGAAAAAAGGCACTGATTTACAAACAAACCAGAGAAATGAGCCAAGAAGGCTCGTCTGTGAAAATCTGAACCTTGAGCGCTTTTGGGTGAGAAGGGAGACACTGGCACATCACATTTGTGCTGAAATCTCCATTTATTCTGGAAACCTCTGGGTCTGTAGCACCGTGTCTGATCTGCACCTGAAGCCTCACAGTCACTGCCTCTGCACATCTGAACACACCCAGGGAATAAGCTCAGAATTCTGTTTCTTTGGGCAACAGGCCTGAGCACAACTGCAAACTGAACGTTATTTTCCAGGCATGGGCATTTTCTCCAGCACATCGATGACTTGCAATCACTTAAACAGTCCCTGAGGAAGAGTTTATAGAGCTGAGCAAATGAAAAGCAAAGGAGTATTTTGCAGCTTCAGTGATATTTACAAATGAAATTAAAGCCAATTAATTTTTCATCTCAATCCAAGTTCCATCAACAAATACTAGTATCTACAATTGCAATTCTAAGTGTAAAATATTAATCTAATGAAGCAATACTTGCTCATTGTCTTATTCAAAGAGCTCCATGAGCAGAGCTCCAGTGCTGTGTTTAAAAAACAGCACACGGACTGCAATAAGGAATAATTTAACTTTCAAAGTAATTTATTTTAAACTGACTAATTGCTCCTCCATAGCCTCCAGCTTCAAACTGTTTAAGGGAACTACAGTGCTCTAATCCAAGTCCTCTGGCAAGGAACTTGCTAAAGGGCACAGTGAAATAAGAACAAATCTGCTGGTACAAACATGGGAACAACAGGTTTGTACTTACCTGGGGATTCCCTTCCCTGAGCATTAAGGTCTGTATTTTTGGTGAAATAGCCATTTCAGCTGCTCCCAGCCTGCTGAAAGATCAGCCAGCACTGGCAGCAGGGAACTGCTCTGACCCTGACTGCTCATTCCAGGGCCAGCACATTGCAACTTCAGCTTTACTGAACTGTCACGTCTGAAATGTCCTGAGGAAAGATGCAATGATGTCTCCTCAAAGTCAGAAAGTTTTCCTAACTGAGGAAATCCTTCTGCTGCTCTGCTTCCCCCTCAGGCCCAAAGGCTTCAGGGTTATGCTGGATTTGGGGACTTCTAACACTCACACAAATGAAACATGCACTTTGCACAAATACATTTTCCTAGACACCATACAAAAATCCACAAAGCAGTTCAGCACAGGAGGGCAAGAACTAGGATCATCTCCTTAAAATCAACACTTAAACTGTCTTTACTCTGGAGAAGGATGTCACTACAACTGTGAGGACAGGGTTATCTGAATTCTGAGCACAGAATTCTCAGCAGCAAAAGTTTCAGTTGTAAAATTTATCTGGAGAGAAACCACCAGGTATCTCTTGATACACACAAGATAAAAGAGTTTCCTGTAGGAGTTTAGTATCACTCAGTCTGTAAAACCCATAAGGATTTCTGATCTCACGTGGCACTGGAGGAGGATTTGCACTAAAGAAGAAATTTTATTGTCCTTGACTTTTTATACACAGTAGGGTCCCAGAGCTGTGGAAAACAGAGATGCTGACAGACTTGCCAATCTGTGATAAAGGGAATATTTGCAAGAGCAAAGTCACAGCTCCTGTCCTGGGCCTGGCAGAATGGAGCTCTTTGCCATTTTGGGGTCTAAAAAAAGCCAACTGAGGTTTTTTGAAATAAACGAGGGTATTTTAAACACAGGTTCTGATCTTTCTAACCAAATTCCTGACCAACTCTGGCACTCCACTTCCTTTTTTATACATGTAGTGTGCTCAAATAAGAATAACATTTGGATTTTATGACAACAAAGAATTTCATCTTTACTGACATGTTCCTTAGGTCCTGCCTCCCTCATTCCTGTGTTAGGGGACTGTGAGGAGGCACAGGCACGTTGTGCTGCTGGAGCTTTCTCAGGAGACACTCAAAGTAGGGCAGGAATGAGGAGCCAGAGCTCTCCTTTTGTTTCCAGCTCACCCTCCCATGCCTGTGCTGGTGCCACCTCCTCCACTCAAGGAGAAGCGCTGTGGGCACAACTCCATAGAAGAAATTGAAAATAAACTTTGGATTTTTAATTCATACATCTTTCATGATGAGGAGGGCTGATTAAAGCACATCCAGTGGCAATCATGAGGCTCTCCAGCCACCAGCTTGTCTTTTCCCATGCTCACACTGCCAGCAGGGTGAAATACCTATTTGGTGACATAACTTAGCACCATGAAGAGATTCTATTTCAAACACTATTAGATTTTCTCTCCCCTGCTTCTTCTCCCCCCACTTGACTTAATTTTTCACAACTTGCAATTTGTGATCAATATAGCATTTAACAGTTGAGATTTGTCTGACATCTCCAAGAACTTCTGTACCAGCTACATAAAGGGAGAGGTTTCAAATGTTTTCACTGAAATATCCTACTTGCACTTTTTCTTCTTTTCACCCTGAGATTATTTATGTATTTAACTATGTAGAAGTAAGCTCTGACAAACATGAATACCAAAATGCCAGTGAACCTAGAAATGTTTGTTATTTGCAAATAACAATTGTTTTAGAGAAGTGAAGGTTCTTATTCTACTGGATTAGAGACCTTTTATAACTTTTATAACTGAGCAATTCCTTTCTAAGTGCAGCCACGAACTGATAGAGACCAACTGTTAAAGCAGGCAAGATTACAGAGTGTACAACAATCCAAATGTGAAATATCAGAGAAATAATAGATCAGACTTCACTGTGGAACAGTAATTTTAATACTTAACAGACTCCTGTGTGCCTATTAAGCTGACAACAATTACATGTGACCCACTGTTTATGAAACACTGATTATGCAGGAGGCCAAATTAATGATGTTAATTATTTAAGACAGAAACTCAAGAGATAAGACATCTTAGTTTTTGAAATTTTTATGATTCTTTCCACAGTGACACATATGTACTATTGAGAGGCCTTTAGAGGGACTAGTCTTTTGCTTTGTTTTAGAAATAGAAATGTAATATATGCCTATTACAACATACACTTTTCAATATTAATTTGCACTAGGCACACACAACTGATTTGACATTGTGAGGATTTCCAGTAATAAAGAAATGTACAACATGGAGTTAAAGGTGCATGAAACACTCAGTTTGGAAGGGAAATCTTCTCCATCTGTACAATGTATTGATTGTTTTTTTCTGATTCAGCTAGAGAAACGTGTTTTATTTTACTCACAATTCTTATGCCCCCAAAATGATGTGCCCAAATTGCTGCAGAGTGAAGGGCAGGCCATATTTATTGGCTGTTGTCCCATCCCATACCTGAAATGGGAATTTAAGTCATGCTTGAAGGGCTGTCCCAGTGTATTTGGACTCACTGACAAGACAAATACACACACACACTCCTGGAAGGAAACTGCTTAGGTCCTGGAAGCACCATTTTACACATTTAACTGGTTCCTGGAATAAGAACACTTGACACTTTCATGTGAATTTATAAAATAAATCACTTGGTAGAAGATTTTAGTTCTGGAGTCTAAAATCTCCATGACTCTTAGCTCACTTGTAGCTATTGAAACAAGGTGCAAATTCTAGTGAATTTCTGACACTTCCATCACTTTGAGACTAATGAATTTCAAACATAAACTAAGGTAAATATTCTTTCCTTCTCTGTGTGGAAGAAGTCTTTTAGTGGGAATTTTCAGTGTGTTTAAAGTATTTTTTATCTTTTGAATTTTCTGTGCAGTTTGTGCTGAAGCTCTGCAGTCTTATAGGGAATTTCTGAAGTAATCCACTGCTGAAAATACATTGTGCCACTTGACTTCAGAATTGCAGGTTTAAAAGCCTGGATTAGTTCAAGTGCAACATGTGCTCCTACTATTAATTCAACCCTTAAGTGCTGGGTGTTATTTTTATACTCAGGTTTGTTAGGAGATAGATAAAATCTTCCATGTCATCCAAAAAGTCTTATCTAAGCAGTTATTTTCCCTTTTTAAGGGAAGTGGGACAGATTTCAGATGGAAATGACAGGAAATATTTGATGAGCTATGAAAATGCAGCTCTTGGTTATTATCTCCATAGGGAGCTTCTCTTGACACCATTTCTGGAACAACTTCCAAATTTCCTCAGACTCACTTGTCATACAAACCCCTGCAGAAACCAGTTTGGAAAAATGTGCTTAGACTGGGAATAGCAAAGAACTGGAAGTCAGAGCAGTTGAGAGCAGCCCTGTGTGCCATGTGTGGGTACCTCACTAACAGAAATTCCATGTCTTTGACCAAACAGACCCAGTTTAGTTTGGTTTTCTCTGCCAGCCTTTCCTTATAAGGGATTCCCTTAATAAATCACTCAGCTGAGCACAGCAAAAGCCTGCTAAATATTTACAGCAAGTGCCACACAGCATCTTGGTAAGAAGCTACAGGCAGAAAGTTTGGGAGAAGAGATTTAAGGCTGCACTGCCTCTGGTGAAGTCAGGGCTAGGTCCTTGTTTTCAGTTTGTTGCTTTAGCATGCTTATTTCATATAGAGGTTTAATTAAAATTTATTAATGAGGAGCAATGATGAAGAAACAGCAAGGACAGGACTATCTTTCTTCAGCAGTGCTGCCTGTAAATAGATAGGAGACAAAAAGCAACGAGTAAGCAGATTCTGACTTTCATCACCTACATTCTTCTCAAGCACCTGCCCCTCCAGGCACTGATTGTACTTTGATCACCACACAGAACTTGATGTAGGAACAACTCAACATTGTGGGATTAAGGCTGGGGAGGTTAATTACAGCACAGGCTGGGTGCAGAACACTTTGCACAGCAGGTTGGTACATACCGATCATCGTCGTCTGCGTGAGCGTTAGTGCCAGAGGTGCTTTGGAGTGTGGGCAATCCCTCTGTAACCCCCTCATCTATTGAGCCTAGGCAAAGAAAAAAGGGCAATTTAATGCAAATAACTGTTCAAGAAGGGTTAAGGGGGCAGGTAAATACACATCAAGCTTGCTTTCCCAAATCTCTGATAGATGATGCTTCCTGGGTGTTAAGATAATAAAAGTGCCTTGGGAAAGTAATTTAGAACACTCAGAAACAACTCGCTCCAAATCAGCTTCTCTCTGCACAGATAACCCAGTAAATTGACAACTCAATAAAGGGCACATGTTTGGTACACCTAGAAAATGGAAATGTTAAACACAGCCAGTTTTCAAAACACATCCAGTACCAGCACTGTAAAGCAGAAATGTTACATTCACCTAAAGGGATTATTTTGTCAATTTTTCCTGAGCAATGAGGAGCTCAAAGCTGCTACACTAAATGACTTTTATGTTCCAAATCTTCCATAAATACATTAATTGATAATGTCTTCATTTATTGAGAAGCAGCTGAGACAGGAGGAGCCCTCTGGGAAATCAGACACGCAACACAAAAGAGACCAAACACCTTTTTGTTAGAGGAATGTACAAACAAAACCACCCCAGAGCTCTGCTCAGCTCACCACCAAGGGGCTTGGGGAGCAGAATCCAAAGGAAATGCAGCACTGGAACAAACCCACACCTTCACTCACTGAAGCTCTTGCTCGTTTGGGCTCTCCCATCACCACTGGGTGTTTGCTCAGGCAGCCTCTGCGTGTCCCCCATGGATCCATGAGGACACAAGGGGAAGGAGATTTCTCTCCCTGCACCTCCACCTCGGGGACAGGACAGTGCTACGAGCTGGGGTAAAATAATTCTGCTTTCTAACAGAGGGCTCCATAAGCAATCTGAATTTGGGGACCCTAAAGCTGACCAGGAAAATCAAGTACAATTAGGGGTACACTGGCAAGTGTCAGGGAAAATGGAAAACCAAAGAGAAGGAACAAAGACGTGAAAGGTGAAGCAGAAAATGTGCATATTCTGTCAAAAATCATGAGAGATCTTCCCTGAAGTGAGACATTCTTGTCTTAATGTTATGGGGCCAGTGACAAGAGGAAAATTGCATCTCTGGCACCTTCACAATTAGTAAAATCAAAATTTCTGATTTCGTTAAGAGCTGACAAACTATTCTTGGGAAATTCATCAGCTAAGCAATCTCTAAAGTGACAAAATTTAATTCCATTTTGATTTATCCTTCTTTCTCATGGAATACTTCAATGAAAGCCTACTGAAAAGTAAGCTCAACTGCTCTTAGGTTTAATTTCGTGCCTTCACCTCTCAAAGTGCTAAGAAGTTGTGAGAGTATCTTCTCTGTTTTGTAACCATAATGATTTATTTATCAAGTCCCTGCTCCACATCTCCTTCCATGTTATAAAGTGCTTCCAAATAGAATAAATTGCAAATGAACAATTCTCAAATTTCCCAAAGAGTGAAGAAGAGCTTTTTGGAGTATCAGAGACAGAGGCAGGAATGCTTTTGTAAATGCACCATAAAACACTGAGATAAATACATGCAATAATATGAGGAAAATATGTTCAGGGAAGAAAAAGCTGTACTTTAACATATCTTGCTACCTCCATTTACTGTTCTTACATTACTGCATAAATAAGCATTTTTGGGAGGTAAAAAGTGCTTTCTAGCTACAAAGTGTGCTGTACCATAACTGTGCTAAAAAGCAAGAACACTGTTTCCCTTTATACCAAAACATGAATAAAAGCCATTCTGAGGATGGTTATTATGCCAAGACCACTAAATATTAATTCAAACATACTCAAAGACAAAGAGCAGATTTGTACTTTAAAGATTATGCCCTGGCACATTTTTCTTTTCTCTGCAGCTGTTTTAAGGCAGAACATGCTGTACTAACAGCAATGACAGATAGCTAAGTTTAAAAATTATAATCACTAAAGCCTGAGATTCTCTGCCCCATGCATACAAAACTACACATCTGTGGCCTGGAGCTGACACCCAGTTTGTTCTTGAAGCTGCCTTGGTGTGGTATTTATTTATATATTTATGATATATATATATATATATATCACTTGATATGCTATTTTTAACTTTCCCTAATCATTATTGCTTGTTCTATTTTGTCTGTGATGATATAATTACTTTGATTAAACAGTTTGCATCTCTTATCACATGGCCCTGGCAAAGTCTTTCAGTTCTGACTGCAATGAGTTAAAAACTGAATCAAACAAAACCTGGTTTTGAACATTTCCTGGTGACTCCCCAGCAAACAGTTTTCTTTTAGGCTTTAATTTATGCACTATTTTGGCAAACCACATTTAAAGATTCAGAGTTAAACTATAAGACATTAAGTCTATTTCTCATTAAAGGTAAACATCCTTGTCTCCAACAAAGAAAACATTTTCATTTGGAGAAATCTAAAATATCAATAGGTGAGTTATACAAACTGGAGAGCAATCCAACAGCAGAGGATGGCATAAATGGGAAATATTTTCATTTCTTTTTAGTGATTATTACCTGGATAGTTTGGCACTGAATGACTGTTCTGGAGGGTCAGCCTGATCTCACTTTCTCCAGAGAAGTCCCAGTGTTGCACTCACCTCACCAAACAAATATTGCAACTACAAGGCTACAACTCTTGACTTTGTTGTAGTTTATTTATTTCATGAATGGGGGCAGCCTTTCACACACACATGATGTGAGTGAAGCAGAGCAGTCCCTTTGCCATTCTTATGGTCTTCAAACAGAACAGGCATTATTAAAATCTTTCAGTAAACAAACTCTGCTGAGCACAGCTCAAGCCACTGGGGAGTAAAATAGCTGACTTGGGCAAAATTTTGATAATTAAACCAGAAATATTGCAAAAGCTCTACCTTCTGATTTACTAAAAGCTATTCAATGCATTCTGTGCAGAGGAAAAAAGGGATTGTTCCAGTAACCTTTAAGTATTAGCTCTTAATAAAGAACAGCCTGCTATAAGAACCCAAAACTGGTTTCAAATTGTCTTTCATGGAAAAAAAGATTTCTCTCAGCAACCAGCAGCATTTGAAGAAGCAACTTGAGAATCAAATCCCACAGAAATGGAAAGATTCTCAATATTATGACTGTGTGGTTTTATTTTTGTCTGGGGCATTAAGATGACAGTGTTTCACCACTTATTTTGCAAATCCTCTTACAAAGACTCTCTGTCATGATTATATGAGATTTGATGTCTGATGCAAAGCACTACTCTAACCCTTTGTGGCTACAGGCACAAGCTTTTCAAATCTGATGCTGCAGCTCAGCTGAGATCATGCCTTTTGGCACTAATGAAAGCAGAATTAAGTTTCCCCAGTCAGGCAACTGGAGGTAAAAAGGAGTTACCAGCCTCTGCTGAATAAAGAGGGCTACCACAGGCTCACCATTCTCAGCTGCCTTTTGCAAAGTTATTTAAAGAATTCCAAGTTTATGTGTAACATTTCAAAAATCAGGGGGGGGAAAAAAAAGAGATTCATAAAAGTAAAGCATGAAAACCCACGAGGCAGATTTCCAATAAAACCCCCAGTGCTCACATGCTGTTGGGATATGTAACTGCACAAATGGTCATATGTTGGAAAGGATAAGGATTTGACAGGAAGGTCTTACAAATGTGTATGTATGACAAAAAGATTTTTGAATGTAGAATTTAAAGAATAAATAGAAATGATAGCCAGTTTTGATATAGAAGAAAAGAATTGCTGAGCCAGTCTGACTGGGTAACTAAGAAGGCCAAAGGTGTGTTAGTATGTGAGTTGGATGGGGCTTTTGTGATTTTGAGCAAAAGACAGATTCACTTTAAACAAAAAATGTTTTTACAAAGCAAAAAGATTTTTCTAGGTAAACAAAAATGCTATGTTGTAGGTAGAAAGAAAGATTTTAAAATCTTTTACTGGAAGAAAACTGAAAAACAACTTCTTGCTTAAACTGTAACACACTAACATTTTGTGATTAGAAAATAGTAACAGGAATATGGTAATGTCAGTAGTATGATAGGCTATAGGTAATAGTGAAGGTATTGACTGGTTGTCATGTTTTAAGATGCTCTGCAATGAAAAGTATATTATGCATTGTAACCAGAACTAGAGCTGGCTTCAGACAAACCCAGAGCTGTGGCTGAGAAGGCTGTGGGCTGGGCTCTGTCACCCACACCCTGTGAACTGCTGCATCATTTGAATACAATGACCAGATTTTAACAAGGCACCTGAAGCCCTGTGTTTGGGCTCTTACACTCATACCTATAGATGAGGACTGGGGGCTGATCAGGAGATCCTCCTGCACTTGCTCGCTCCCCGGGACAGTCTGCTGGTCACTCAGGGAGCTCTGGGACGCGCTCACAGGCTGTGACACCTCCTCGTGAACCTCCTCGTCACTCAGCCGCTCCACCTTGACACGCACGTCCTCCTCGATCACCAGGGGAGAGCTGCCTTTGGTGCTCTCACAAGTCACATACTCTGCCATCCTCCTGGCAGACTCGGAGGGCCCAGGCATTTCCAAAGTCCTAGAGTTCTCCGCCTGCTTCACCTTTTCTGACTGAAGTCTTCGATCAATTCCAAAAGGAAAAGTCCAGGGAAAAGCTAAGGACGAGTCCACGGGCTGATTTCTGGGCTCAGGGTAGGAGGTTGAAGGGTTGAGCACTTGTGGGGAGCTGGTTTGTGTGTTACACTTGAGGGGGCTCTCAGGAGACATGACGATGTAACTCTTGCGCTTCCTCCGAGACTCCCGGCACACGGGAATGGTTCTCTCCACCACGCTGCACTCGGAGGACACGGGAGACAGGCTGCCATCCCGGGACGTGAAATTGCAGTTTGCACTGTTCTCCTGTCCTGCATCCAGCACCTTCTCCTGCTGGCTGTTGGGTGTATTCCACAAAATGCTGGACTTCATGAATTCCGAGCACGTGCTGGCCACGCTGAACATCTGCATGTAGCTGGCGGCAGCCAGCACGTCGATGATGTTCTCGGTGTTGATGGACAGCGTGGCCGTGTAGGCGTACTCCAGCAGAGGGATGAACCCTGTCACTGTCACATGGTGCAGGTCTAACACGCTCTTGCTCTCCTCCTCTGCTTGGCCAACCAGTTTGGAGCGGAAAAAGTCACTGCAGGCTGCCAGAACCACCTTGTGTGCCCTGAAGATCTTGTCCTGGACGCGGATGGTGATGTCGCAGAAGTGGCCGTCGTTCCGCAGCATGTTCAGCTTCCCCAGCATCTCCTGGCTGTGAGCAGGGGAGTTATGAGTGAAGGTTTTAACACCCATTTTTAGACAGTTCTCTTAGCGTTCTTCCCACATATGACAGATCAAAGGTATCCTGAAATAAAGGGGAAAACTGTCATTTTCGTCTCTGAAAGCAAAAGTCAAGTGATTCGTGATTGTAACGAAGAAAATTCATCTGAATCCTCTAAGGCCAGGTTCCTCTAAAATCCAGACTGTGAAAGGCACTAACTCTACAGAAATGCAATGACTTGTAGTTTTCATAATCACAGATTAAATTATTTGCAATCTATCCCCACCATCTTCCATACATCTATGGATCTATCTCTCCCACTCTCTCTCCACATTGCTGCTCTGCCCACTCAAAACCAAATATCCAACACAGTTCAAAAAAATGTTTGTAATACTAAAAATACAGCATTTAAAAAATTGTCATCTGTGTAGAAACCTGTATTTTTATTTTCTAGGCCCAGAAAACCATTTCTCATAGCTCTTAAACCTGACAGATTAATAAAGGTTTCTTTTAAGCAAAAAAGTCAGGTTGAGTCAACAACAAGGGAGCAGGAATAAGCAAATCTCCCAGGGAAGGTATTTAAGACCAGAAAAGCTTTAGAGAAACTAGAACATGAATTTTCAGAGGCCAGAGTTCAAACTAGTAAACATAAAACAACAGTTGCCAATAGGTCTGATTTCCTGCCGTAGTGCAGGTATTGATTACCTAAAGCTGCTTTTAATAGTTTTAAACTAGGATGAGAAGTTATTGAAAATTCTTTCACAAACACAATGCAGTATAAACCTCAAAGGAAAGTTTACGTTTAAATCAAATACACATAAACTGATTTTGTGTATGTGATAAATAAAACAAGAAGGGCAACTTCTTTCTTCTGAAAAACACAAACCTGCCTTCTTGGGGACCAGTTCTCTCCATGTGGTCCTGATGGGGATGGGATGTTTGACCCCTGGATTTCCCCAAACATTTCAGAAACATTTCACTGTAAAGGGAACATAAACCACAGTGCTTTACCTGCTTAAGCCCCTTCCAAGCTCCATGGAAGTTTTCTGTGCTGTACACGCCTCATATAATTAACATGATCTAGAATTATCTCACTGGTTAAACATCAACACTATGATTGTGTTTGATTCATTCCTGGAGTCAGTCAGCTCCTGCACATCTTCCTTCTTTCCCTTCCATGTAAAAAAACATTCCATGCTTGCAAATGGCTCACGTGGAGCTTCACAGAGCAACTGCAAATGTGGAACAATTTACCCCAAATGTGACACATTGAAACAGCAGCTGTCACAGCCCACCTGGCTCTACAGACATTTACACTTGGCTGCTTCTTGTTCCTGGGTTTTCACTTTTGATACTCAAACCCTTGCAGACAGAGGAACACTAACTGTTCAAGAGAACAGATTAACTAACACCTGATAATATATATAAAGTCTGGTGGAAACTATAAAGGCCTTTTGGGTTTAAAATGAAATTTCACACTGGTGCAGAGGAAGAAGTTAACCACAAGCAAAACATTCCCTTCACTGAAAGAAAATGGATCAACCTCAAGAGGCATCAGAATATCCAGACTGTTTGTTCTCCAGCATGAATCAAATGAAAAGCATATTTCACTGATCTCAGACCAACACACTACAGCAAAATCTTGTACCAGCACATTCAGAAATGGCCCTTGGATACCCTTCCCTCTGAAATGCTGGTGGCTGCAGCTGCTCCTTGGCACACCAGAAGTGCACAAGTATTTCTGTTCAGCAGCTCGGACAAGAACAATACATTCACAAGGACTAGCCATGGAATCATTTGTTATTTAGAAACAGCACCAATAACTCGTTCTAAACAAGGAGAACAATCTCAGAGCAATCCTCCCAGTTGCTACAGGCCCAACAGACAAACCCATTTTCCTCTCTGTTCTTCTGAAGAAGGAACGCTCAGCCCTCCAGTCCCAAAGTGAGAATTCAATTCTGCTGCCCTGCTCTGAACTATTCCTTGTCCTGTTCCGCCCTTCCTGCTGCCTCTCCCCTCTTCTGGCTTCCTTTCCCCTTCTCCTTTCATCTTTTGCTTCCTTGACCTTGATCTGGTTACAGAATTTAAAATAAAATAGTGGAAGTCAGTGATGTGCAATAAATTGATTTGAATTTATTACAGGAGCAGTGTTCCTGCCACGAATGTGGGATATTGCTCTGCTAAATCACTTCTATAAAATGACTTTCACCCTCATTGCACTGACACCTCCATTCAAACAAGTGGCTCCCACCCAGGCTCAGTGTGAACAAGGAGCATGCACATACATGCTATTTTCAGGAAAATCCAAAGGGTCAGGCTGAGGAGGGGGAACAATATCAGTTCCATACAGTTAATGATGTCATAAAAACATCCAATATTTTTAGAAGGTAATTTAAACAGTATGAAAGTATTTTCCACATGAAAAGATGAGCATGCTAAAGCACAGCCAGGTTATCCAATGGTTCAATCCTCTTTCTAATCTTCCAGTGGCACAAGGCACTTTTACAGCCACCCTCAATTCACAGGGACATGAGAGGGTAAAGGGCTGCAACATTCTCTGTATCATCACCATTTCAAAATTACACTTTGTCAGCTCTCATTTCCCATCTGAGGCAGTCTCTGAAGCAGCTCTTGGACCATAAGGTGCAGGATGCCACATCCAAGAGCTAAATATACCCACACCCTTGGGAATGCAGGGGTGGGGACATCGAGGTGCACACCTAAACTAAGTGGTAAGTGGGCTGGAGCTGGAAAAGCTGTTAATTTTGGAGCCACAAACCATCGGGGATTCTCTAGGCAGGGACCAGGGATGGTATCACAGAGAGTGGGGCTCCTCCTCCCATTCCCCAGGCACACAACACATTTCACACCTCCAGAGAAACACAGCAAAATTCAAAGACACTTTCACAAGTCTTAAAAATATTCACAGTGGGACACTTCAGTCCATATTTAACAGGCTGTATTTAAGTTTGCCACAGACATTTACAGTTGGAGAGAATGGTTTTTCCAGCATGCATTCCTGCCCTGGAAACATGTGAGGAATCACCATCACAGCATGCATCCCTGAACAAGTTAAGAATTCAAATGTGGGCACTTCAGGGCTTCCAAAGCAAGGACAATTTTGTCCATTTATTAGCCAAAAGCAGTTTGAAGGGAAGTGCTGCTGTTCCAAAGGCTTTGTACAATTAATCTGAAAATTAGTTGGGTATTTTTAACTCCTAGGAGCACAAATGAAGACCTGACCTTTAAGCAGTTTGGAGTAACTCAGCTCCTTCTCACTGTTTCAAGGCTACTGAAATGCAAGTTTTAGCAACAGCCACCACAGCACATACACAGTTTTGGGATTAAACAGGTGTCAAGTTTCTGAGCTTAGAAAGAGCAAAGATGAAACTGTACACGGTAACTGTAATGTTATAATGTAATGAAACCGTGAATGGAAAAGAAACTATACTGGAATTGAAAAATATTGCTTATGTGACCTATCAACTTCTATGTACACAAAATTTAGCTTCTTGTTCATCTGCTGCTCAAATCACTGGATTTGAAACATGGGATCTGCAATAATATTTTAGAAGAGTCAGTGAATCAAACTCAGGGAGCTGTTTGCATGCAGTTTCTCACTTAGTCACATCATTTCAAAACAAATGTAGTTTTTAGCACCACAAAACCACCACCCTACCTTTAACCTCTGTATCCTGACCCGTGGCAATCTAAAGCATGAAAACACCAACTTCTTCTGAACACTGAAACCAACAGACTTCAGACCACTTTGCAGCCACATAAGTCCTCAAAATGATTAGGAAATTCTCACCCTGGTGCTCACCAAGCCCTCAGATAGATTCAAGATACAACTGTGAGCCCATGGTGTAAATCAGATCATTGGTTGGTTTTTTATATTATTTTTTATTTTTAATGCTGATCACTCCTTGGGCCCTGGTTAGAGCAGCATTTCAGACAGGCAAATCTTCCACGGGGATAAACATGTGACCTGTAGCATTTTATCTCTGCAATCTCACTGCAGTACACAGGTACCAGCACCCCACACTCCCTCAAATTAACTTGTTAGTATAATTAAGTATAATTAACTTCATAATTGAATCAGAACAACTGCTTCAATCAGAACAAACTACAAGTCTGCTATTTCTATTTCTATCTAAACACACATCTGTTTCCCCAGCAGCATCTGACCTAATAAAAGGTACAATCTCCACTATCAATCTTGCCCAACTTCACTCCACAAAACTGGCCAGAGCTACCCACACCATTCGAGTTTCAAACCAGTCAACAGCACTTTCTAAACTTTATTTTAAATCATATTTTCACCCAGGTCAGTAAACCTAGTTTGAGCTCAACCCAGCACTGCCGAGCCTGACAGTATTCATGTGAAAGAGGCAAACACGAGGTTTTTGTGCTCAAAATGACATGTGGAGTGTGGAGCATTCACTCTGGAGCTCTGGAATCTCTGGAATGCAAACCTGTAACCTTTGGCTGCAGTGGCTGAGTGGAGCAGGGAAATGACCCATTCTGGGAAGCATGCTGAGCTTGAGAACTTCCATTTCCTCCAGGAGAGCAGATCTGAGTGCACAAAGGAGCCAGTGGTGAGGAGCTACTGCATAAACCCCGTTATGTTAAACCTGAAAGAGATGCCAAGCTGGGACTGAGGTGATGCCAAATGCTGCAAAAAACTGAGAACACCTGACCCAGTCCTTGGTCTCTCAGTTCAGGAACCACACTCTCACCCTCCAAACAATTTCACTGAAATATCCCAGGACACTGATACTGCCCCTGTGTCCCTCTCCTCCCAGCTTCTCAGAACAGGACAATTTTCAGGCCCTTTCTGTTTTAGAGAGTTTGGAGGTGTTTTGTTTTTGGGCAGGGCTCAAGCTGCACATTGAGCAGTCCCTGGGGAAGATCTCTGTCTGCCCAGCCAAGAGGGGCTGATGACAGGGGAGTAACTCCAGAGAACTCCACTGGGGAGCTGGAATGGAAGAGCAATTTCATCTAACTTTAAACTGGAAGCTGAAATACTACAACCCACCCACTTATTGTTAGTAGTTAATACTCCCTTCACAGCAGAAGGCATATAAAGAGTGTGTTGTGCTTTCCCAATGCACTCCAAAACTCCAAAATACTGCATTTGACAAGACCATATATTTTGCAAAGATTGGGGTTTGGGCACACCACTGTTAACAAGTTCATGTGCCAGGGTTTATGAGGCCCCTGACTTCATGACCATTGGAGTCCTTCACAGAGAGCATTTGTTGGGTGCTCTGTACTCACCCCCAGCCTGTTCCTTTGTTCCACACTTTTTAATTTTTTTTTTACCTGAAAAAAAACCCTGAACAACCAACTGGCAACCTGAATTTTGCTAGATCTTACAGTTTATGCAATATTTACCTTCAGTAAAAAGCCCCAGGAGTGCATGCCCCATGTATTGCACCTGGGTTTGGAGAGAATCCTTCCACACATCACTTTCCAAAGATCCTACAGTGGCAAACTGCTTCGTAATTTGAAGCAGCCACCTCTTCCTCTAAAAGATGTTCCAAATTGTAGAATTTAGATGTTTTTAAATTTTAGGTAAGCCCAGCAGAAGCTGCTGCTGAAGGGTGGCAGGCTGTACTCCAGAACCAGACTTCAGCTCCATGCAGGGAGACTAAGACACACGAGGGAGCAGCCATGGATCAAACTGATCCAGGTCAATGTAAATAACCGACATAATTAGCAGAGGCTCTCAATGTTTATCACTCCCACAAACTGCTTTGTGACAATAAGAAACTCTCATTCCCCAACTTTAAATGAATTTGTAAACATTTAGGTAAGTTTCTCTTGAGTGCTCTAAGAGCTGAGGTTTACAAAGTCAACTCACCAAGGCTGCAACCCTTCACAAAAAGTGCTGAAAAGATTTGCACATCTGGAAACCCTGAGCTGTGACAGGGCCCACCACCATTTTTGGTAGCAACCAAGGTAAATCTCTTCAGGGCAGGAAAGAGATAAAGGCAAAAGCACACAATATTTATTTACTGCAAGTCCTCCAACAGACCAGGAACGGTGTTTATCTGCAAAGGACAAGGTGAAAAGCATCCAACAGCTCCTCTTCCAAAATAATTACTCAGGAAAAAGGCAGGCCCAGAGTGTCCATGAAATACATGTATCCCTAACAGATCTGTTCAGTTTCCCCCAAATTAAACCGTGTAATAATAGAAAACAAAAGCTTGGACTGTCCCATGCCACAAGAAGGAAGCAGATGTGTGCAGCCATGGCAAAGCCCCAGCTCACAGTGACAGCTCTGACTCACGCTGCCACTGCTATCAGAAACATTCATCTTTCATGGGGATAGGAAAAAACTGACTCACAGCATGGAAAAATGCATTTGCATGATGCAAATCTAGTAGGTGCATTTTAATTCTCAGGGCTGGTGAAGGCATTGAGATAAGTAGTGGGGTGCCAAACCCATCTATTTGCTCTACAAAATGGTTTTATTGTAAGTGGAGATGGGATGTCAGCTGCAACAGAACACTTCTGAAAGGATAAAATTAGAAAACATTTACATACACATTTTAAGGGAACAGAACCAACAGACTTTCCCCAAGCAGAAGAGCACAGATTACCTTCGACTGGTTTGCATGAGTGGAACTTCAGCTGATTGTTGAATCCAGGAGCTCACACCCCTCCTCCTGGGGTTGCCAAGGCTCCCAGCCACTTCTCACCTCTGCAATTTATCACTCAAAACCACCTCTGCTTTTGGCAAAAGTGCCTTAATCACTGCTAGCTTTTTGAAAAAAGTTTATCTAATTAACTTCTCAATGCATATTCCTATACAAGAGAGAGCAAAAAATTCTCCTATTTTAGCATTCTGTTTAAATTCTTACCAGTAGCAAGGTGTGAGATATGGTCAGACACTTGCAATCCACTTCTACACCTTCCTGGTATTTGATTTAACTCCCCTTGCAAAAAGATGGACAACCAACACTTTAGCATGT